CTCACTAGGAGGGTGGCGAAGCATTGAAACAGGTTACCCAGAGAGGTTGTGAAATATCCATCCTTGGGGGTGTTTAAGACCCAGCTAGGCAAAGTCCTGTCTGGGATGATGTAGCTGGGGCTGGTCCTGCTTGGAGCAGGGGTTGGACTAGATGTGACCTCCCGAGGTCCCTTCCACCCTCCTGTCTGTGATTCTGTCATGGAGAAGGAGCTGAGGAGGCAGGACCTAGGTGCTACATGCCTGAAGCTACCATGGAAGATACCGAATTCAGCTGTTTGAAATGGAAACTTTTCCAACTATTTGAGTTGGTTTAATAAAAGAGATCAGATTCACCCAAAGTACCTTGTCTGCCTACATCCCTACACCAGCACGGCTACAACCTACACCCCTGAAGCTACCAGGGATTTCAACAGGAGCCGAGCTAGAGCCAGTCTGGGGGCTGAGACGGCTGCCTGCTGGTTTCGGGGAGATGCGTCTAAGTTCCCAGGGGATCCAGAGCCCCATGGCTTAAATGGGGCATGTAAGACATTTCCAGGCCCTTTTGACACTCTTGGCAGGAAGCTGTGGAGCATGGCACTGCCTCTGAAGCAACAGCATCTGGCTCCCAATACATCAGTCTTCACTACTCCAGCTCCAAACCGAACCAAGTGACGACCTGCTCCCTGCTCGCTGGGGGCATTCACCCCGTCAGCCACCCCAGAGCCGCCCTGCCCTCCTGTCCAGCTTGTCTGGATGTCTGCCACTGCATAACGACCATGCATCTGGTGCTCAGAAGCCAGCACTGCTCCGGGCTGCATTGCAGGGCTGGGCTCCTTGCCCACACTGCAAAATGCAATGCCCGCTCACAAGTAAGGGTCCTCATCCTCACTTCAGGGATCCTTTGACTCCCTGCCTCTGGGGGAAGTCAGGACCTGCAGGTGCTAGTCCCAGCTCTGACTTGCTGCACAAGCTTTGCAAAGTCCTTTCTCTCCTCTTCCAACTTCGTGGGCTTTGGGTTTTAGACCCCAGGCAGCCTTAGGTACAGGGACCAGATGACTTTGCATTCCTATCTAGCCTAATGAGGCACTGATCGCAATACCAATGAGACCAGCTCTGGGAAATACATAGAGAAATGGGTCTGGGAATAGTCTGTTTTAATGAGCCGTTCAAGGGACATTGCACTGGCCTTCCCCCGCCTGCAGTGGGAAGCCTGGGGCGAGGCTAGCTGTGACTGGGGTCACTGGGTGACATGATGTCAGTCGCACCCAATCAAGCCAAAATGCCCCCAATTGTCAGAGGAAGACTAGAAGGAACCTAATCCCTCTGAGCCACCTGATAGGATTGTTTAAGTGGAGGGTTACAAGGGAACCCACTAACACCTTGGTATGTTGACCGCAATCTCATTACCTTCCTAGCCTTGGGCTGTTCTCCCCTGCATGGTCCTGCTCACCAGCATCCACCAAGGAGTGAGGAAATAGCTATTTCATCTACTTGATTCACTACAGAACCAGGGATATGAGAGTCATCTGAGAAGCAGCTAGAGACAAAGCAAAAATAGAGAGAGGGGTTGGGGACGGAGGCCGTTCAATAAATAAATGCAAAAGGGGACAGAAAAGCTAGTGTTTCCCCTGGCGCCCAGATAGCAGGGCCTGGCAGGATTGCAGAGGAGTGGGGTTTTATTTCAGACAGTGTTCAGACAGGGCCTTCCCCACTGCAGGCTTTCTACGAGACAGTGGGTAACTCATTTCTTTGCCTCCGCTCCCCACCTGTGAACTAAGGATAAATACCCGCCTCTGCCTGCCTTTCAGCTGGAAGCTCTGGTCTCTGCACCCCAATTGAAACCCACATGGTATTGAAAATTATCTTCTCTGCTACAGGAAGTCTTGGGACAACCTGTTCTCCTTTGTCACACGCCACCAGCTGCTGCAGGACCTTCCTCCCCAGCCAGCCACAAGGGCCCCGGTTTCTGCAGGCTTTGGTGTAGCCCCAGGAAAGGGAGAATCCAGCCCCCAAAACTCAGTGTTGACCTAAAGGGCCCAGCAGATGTGTCCTCCACCCATGCACCGCCGGGATCACAAGGACCCACAACTCCCCTACCTTTGCAGTCAGCGGCTCCCAGCCCCAGCGCAGAGTGCCTGGAGTTGTGGACCCCCAGTCAGCTCCCCATCCAGCCTGGGTCAGCGCCCAGAGATGCAGCGTCCAGCTTCTTCCTCCATGGGAGGCTCTGGTTAGAAGTGATCTCCAAGATGCTCTCTGGGGCCCTGACCCAGGCGCACATAAGAGCACAGGAATTGCCCTTTCTTGGGTCAGACCCTAGACCCGTCTTGCCCAGTTGCCACACAGGAGCAGAGTTGCCCAGGCCGAGGGCAGGTCCCCCTGCTTGCCTGGCTCGAGTGCCAGAGACTGCCCTGCACCCCGCTGGGAGCAGGGAGGGGAAGGTCCTGGGGATCACAGTACCTCCCCCTTCTCCAAATACACCCCTCACCCCCGACAGGGGCTTGTCACCCATCTCTTTGCATGGAGGTTATCTGCTTTTGGGCTGTGCCCCTCATTGCCTGCTTAATAGCTACTGTTGCCCCTTTCCTCCAAGAATTTGCCCTTTTTGAACCTGCCTAAAAACCCCTTGTGAGGGACGGCAATGCTGTTATCCCAGGCTACAGAGAAAGGGAAACTGAGGCAGAGGAGGGCAAAGAGACTTGCCCAAGGTCACAGGGGGGAGTCAGTGGCAGAGCCAGGCATCCAAGCTGCTTGTCCTGGGCTGGCTGCCTCTCCTCACGCCTCCAGCCTTGGTGGCTGCTGCTACCTGCGCCTCGCGGCAGGCTCGGCTGATGGGATTCAGATGGTCATTAGGGTTTGAAATTCTTAAAATTGTACACCTTTTCCTAATGAGCTGGGAAAAGTCACACCTCGGGCCCTGGCCCCCGCGGGGGAGCCAGCCCCAGTCAAAAGCCTCCGACGCGGCTTTCTTTTTATGGGGGAAGGAAATGGGGCTGGAGGGAGAAAGCGAGCCAGGGCCCAGAACATCTGCGGAGCGTTTCCCCACGCGAGGCGGGGAGAAAGACCCCGATGGGTTCCCCTGGCGTCCCCCCTCCTGCCCCCAGCTTGGGTTTCACTAGGTCCCAGGGCCCCAAGTGCGGAGGAGAGAGCCCTGCCACGAAGGCCGGGCTGAGAAAGTCATTAAGGGGCTCGGCAGAGGCTGCGCCTCCTCTGCTCTGCTTTGCTGCTGACACCTGGGGGGAAGTGTCCTCTTCTGCAGCTGTGGGGGGAATGGGAAACACACACACACACACCTACACACACACACACATGGATGGCAGACAGGCGTGACAATTTTGGGGAGGGATCCGGGTTTGCTGCAGCCCTCTGGCTCTTGCAGAAATGCTCAGGATTTCCCCCCTGTCAGAGGTTATAGGGCCAGTGGCTCAATTTGGGGGCATGCAAGGAGCCCAGGTCGGACCCTAAGCCCAGAGGCCTGCATTTTGCATTGCAGAAGTCAAATGAAACTCCTCCTCCCCGGCCGTCCCCACCCTGGGCTCTTTGCACCCCAAGCAGGTGGAGCTGCTCACAGCTCAGCATCATCACCCTGGCTGCATCCATCCCGCTGGGCTGGCTAGCCCTGGAAGTCCCTGCTAATTGATACCAGCAAGAAGGGCAAGCCCAGGCAGACAGAGCCAGGCCTGCAGCCGCCCGGTGTAGCTGCACATATGTTATTCTGCAAGATGGCAGCATGACTGAGACCCGCAGTGGAGCTTGATGGCACGGGAGGTAGAATTGGCCAGGATCAAAAAGGGATTCGACAGATTCGTGGAGGGCAGATGTTGAATAGAGCAGCCCAGGACGGGATGTCTCCTCTGAGCCCATGGTAGTGGATCCCGGGGAAGGGCTGGATCGCTCTAGAGGCACCTTGTTCAGACTCCCTCTAAATTTTTCAGCAGGTGTAGCATGCATTAGCCCTGCACCCTCCCTGACTGTCTCTCTGATCTTCTCCAGCCTGATCCGCTGCTCAGCTTTCTGCTCCCTGCCCGATCTGCTGCTCTGCTTCCTGCTCAATGCCCTATCTGCCATTGTGCTGCCCTGATTGACCACATGCTACACACAGGGTCTGCCCGTACCACACAGCACCCATACCGGAGGTTGGCCATGCCTGCCTAATCTGCCACTGCCAGAGACAGGCACTGTGCCGGAGGGACCACGGGTCTGAGCTAGGATGGCATTGCCCCTGTTTTATATCACTTGTTTTTCACTTAGCAAAATGGGTCAGGGCACAACCTGGCTCATACAGCCGCACCTGGCACAGTCTATCCCTGCTCCTCCACCAGTCAAACGATCCAAGTCTGGATGTGAGTGTGGTGGATGGAGACGGGGACAGCCGCTATTAAACCGGAGCATGGGTGGCACCATCCTACCCCAAGCATATGCTCCCGGGCAGTCATTAATGTCTCAAGGCTGCAGGCTGCAGTTGCTGAAGCCATAAACGTTCAGGGTCCCTCCTCCCTCCTGGGGGGTTTCACGTTGTCTTGCATTTTATCGCTGGGGGCGCGCTGTGCATCTGCCGGGGGCCGGCGCAGACACAGGTGGTTGCAAGGGAGATGAAAGGGCAGCCTGGCAGAGCAGTTTTGCCATGATTAGTTCTTAATGACAGCCCTGAAAGGCCAGAGATAAAAAGGAGCATGGCCTGTTTAAAGGGAGAAGTGGGCCTGCTGGACCTATGCCATTAGGAAGGACTTTCCCTTTTTTCTAAAGAGTCATTCAAGACAGCTCAGCAAGCCCCTCTCCCCTGGAGCCTGTGTTAAACCTGTTCAAACCTTGCTGAGAGCAGAGACTCCCGCTGACCCCTGCCTCCACCCAACATCCTCTTGCAGAAGAGAAGGGCAAACACAGCCGTGTTTGAGCAGGGTGGGAAGGTGGGGGGTGAAGGATGAAGGGAAGCCGCATGCAGCCTCATCTGCTTTATTTACAAGAGATGCATCCCTCTGTGCCCTTCTCCCCCTCTGCAGAGCTCTGGCACGGCTGGCTCCCACCTGCCCTTACAAAGCGCCCATCTCGCCCATCCCACTCGGGCTTCTCCTCCTGGGTGTAATCAGAGAGCTGGCACGTGGGCATGAGTCCTCTTGGGTTTAGTCTGTGGTCACATATCACCATTTATTTGAGGCTAGACCCGACCCCCAGACAGCTCCGCTGTGCGCCGCTCCACTTCCCGGTCCTATATTGTTCGGATCCGCTACGATACATGCTTCCGTCTGTCTCACGCTGGCTTAGCAGCCTCATCCTCTAAATGCTTATAGTTCCCCTTGCCTTTCCCCAGCCCCTGCGGCAGGTTGGCATGAGGAATAGAAACTCCCTTTATCCCCCTTGCCCTCGTGGACACTGCACCAGCCTGCAACAATTTGGGACCTGGGACGTGGTGTTTCTGATCTCTCTCGTCTCCTTTCCCGCGCACGTGCAGGCTCACACGCGCAGGCCTCCTGGTCTTGTCACACCTCGCACCCCGGCGAGGTGGCACGACATCCCCCCCTTGGTAATAAACTGCAAAGACATCTGTCTGCTGGCCTGCCCCGCAGAGCAAGACAACTTCCCTGCCTGCCAACCCATTCAGCTGCCTTTTATTGCTGGTTACAGCAAACAAATACAAACCAGGAGAAGCAAGGGAAGCACAAAGCTACAAGCAGGGGACATCGATAGAGAGAATCCAGGGCTGGATGATGCAACTAGATAGGAGACCTAGAAATGGTGTTTTGCTGACTCTCCCCCTTCTTTGAGTCTGCCCCGATCCCGTGTTTGCAGCCTCCTGGGTACGTTTGTTATACAGACTGCTTTGGAGTGCCTTGGCTTCGTCTGAATAAGATAGACCATGCTTTAGCTATGCCACTGGACCTCGCTGCAGGGAACAGGGGGTGGGAAACAGGATAGAAGCAATGGTCCCATGGCATGGCAGGGGTTAAAGTGGGAGCAAAACCCGCGTTTTCTGAGTCTTAGCCCAATGCATCACACCAGCTAGCAGGCTGCAGCTCATTTGCTCAGGGCTTCCACATTTTGCAGGCAAGACCAGTTCCTTGTGCCTCTGGTGACCCTGCTAGCAATCCGCTAGCAATCCCCTGGCTGCTCTGTCCCACATACAGGGGACCTGTATCACCTCTGGTGCCTGGGGCTCTTGTAGCCCATTATTTCATAGACTTTAATAGGCATTAGAGCTGGAAAGGACCTCGGAAGATCATCAAGTCAAGCCCCGAAAGCTGGACAACCCCACAGCTGTGTCGGAGGCCAGCAACCAGCAACCCTTGTGCTGAGTCTGAGCTTTCGGATTGATTAATGGGCAAATCACAGAGATGCCTCAGGTAGCAATTTCCTAAGGGAATTAGGAGCCTAAGCACTGTTTCCAAACATGACCTTGGGCATTAAGGAGCCCGTTGCAAGTGAGGGGGTCCCAAATATGTTTGAGCAAATGAGCGATCATGAATCCCTGAAATGCTTCTGAAATTTCTCTCCCCTGTGCCTTAGTTTCCCTCTAAGCCTGGAAGAATGCCCCTTCCCCTCCAGATTTCCAGCTTCAGCTTCCTATGTGCAAAAATTAAGTTTATTTCCTATATCTGGGGACTTTTTTTTACCATCTTGAACTTTCCCTGAGCCTGATGAAGGGCATGTGAGCCTGAAAGCTTGCAGAAAAATATAACTTGGGGTTTTTTTGTTTTTTGTTTTTTTGCAATGTCTCAGTTGGTCTAATAAAAGGTATTATTATTTATTTTTATTACTTATTTATATTTAATTAATTTATATTTTATTAACAATTATAACTCTGAACCAAGAGTTCTAGATTTTTGTATTTCTTTTTGCTCAGACCAACACAGCTCCCAAATACACCCCTTCCTCTCCTTGAACTGCAGGGCTCAGTATGAACTCTCCCTGCAAGGGCCTGATTTCAGGACTTCCACAGCAATTACAATATTACACATGAGCAATTAATAGCAACTCCCCACCCCCTTCACACCTAATACCAAGTGCAGCTGATGTACAAGAAAACTTGGCCTGATCTTAACACATGGGACCCACAATGCTGATACTTACCTCTGTGGATGGGAGTTTGAGGGGGAAGGAAGGGGGCTGCTCACCTCTGGCACTGGCATTGAGAGGGTTAAAGGGCAGAGGTACCCCCAGGTAATGAAGGGAAGTAGATGGACCTCCATTGTTCCCCTTAACAGGTCGGCAATGGCTAGTTTATTTGCCCAGCAATGCAGATCACCTATCAAAGGTGTGGCCGGAGCTGTTTGAATACAGGAGCTGATACCAGGATCAATAGGCCAATTCATTTTATTCAGATGGGGGAGCTTGTCAAAAGCTGCCCCTTCAATAGAAGCTGTCTGGGAGCTTGGCATTTCCCTGCTGTTTGTGTATTAACTGTCTGCTTGGGGCCTGGGAGATGCCCTGGCCCTGCCAGGCTTTGTATCTGGCTCCTGGAGGCAGGATTAGACTCGCAGGTTTTGCATGCACTAGAAAGCTCGGGGACTATCCTACAGCAAGAGTGCAGCTGGCCCTGCCTGCACCCCTTTGCAAGGACACTAGGACTGAATCTCCTAGGAGTGGTAAGGGGAAGAGATGGTGTTGCCTAGAGCATGGGACTCTGGGGATCTAGGGACATTTTCTGCCTCTGACACTGATTTCTTGTGTGGCCCTGGTCATGTTCCCCCCGTTCCCTGCAAAAGGTGAGCCTTTGCAATCTAGAGAGATGAGAGTGAGATGTCAGCATCCCTCCACACTGCAGGAGCAGCGCAGACAGCACTGGCAAGGGATGGGGGTGAAGGTTTTCCCCAGCCACTGACCTCAGCCCTCAATAAAACAAGGCATCTCTAGAGGCCAGAGCCTCAGTTAGTTTTGCAGAGACTGGGACACAGGAGAGCAGGCGCTGTGATCACTGAAAGGCAGCCAGGTCTGGAGGGTCAAACCGGCACAGAGACTGAGTCTGCTTGCTTTTCCTAGCTCTGTCCTTAGAAACAGCTGCTCCCTGCCTCAGTTTCCTTATCTTTCCCTGGAGCAGCATACCCTGGGGGGGGGGGGGGGGGTGTGCCCTGAAGATAAATGAATGGATGTTGTTGAATAAGCCAAAAAAAGGTGCAAAGTATCATGATTTGACACCAAGCCTCACATGCCAGCAGCTCTGCTGAGCATTGAGCTCTGGCCATTCAGCTCCTCAGCTGTGGCCTTCCTAATTGTCAGCTGCTGGAGCACTTCCATAATAATCATCATCTCATGACTGAGGCCCCTTCTCTCAGCCAGGGGCTCCCTGCAGACAGCAGCACCTTGGCTCAGCTCCACCCCAAACAGGAGCCTTCATTAGTTAACAATTAAGAGTGCAATGGGGCTCAATGGGGCTAATGGGCCCAGCCTGCTCCTAAGGTGGGGATGGGAGATGAGCTTAATAACAAGGGTGGGCATTAGCAAGCCAATGGCCTTGGGAACATGCCTCAGAAAGGCCCAGGTGAGATGCTGGCTGCTTTGTGGATTGCCAGTCCAGTTGGGTTTTGCAGGGGCATCCTTTGCTAGGGGGTGAGGAAGGCAAGATAGAGGACTCGGGTCCCTGGGTTGGGGTTTCTTAGGTTTTTCAGTCCGGTGTCCCCTTGAACCAGAGCTGTGGTAGCTACCCTAGCAGCCACCGATGTACTGCCCTTGGCACCGCTCCCTGCAGCTGCTCCATACACCCCGCCGCTGTATGCATCTATTGCAGCTCGCCCTCCACTGCACCCACCACTGCTGCCTGCAGTCGCTTCCACCACCGACCACAGCCACCCACCCACTCAGTGCCCACCCAGGTCAATCCCAGAGCTTCCTCCCTAATAGTGACCTTCGGACCCACTGAGCATTGGGGTTATCTTTCAGTAACTGATTATTAAAGAGATCCAGGCCTAGCCCCAAACCAAATCTCCCGACCCTATCGACAGGCTGAATGTGCAAATAATTCTACCCCAGGAAAGGGGATGGTCTTCTCCCATTGATCGCAGTGCTGAAGGGTCTGGTTTTATAAAGCAAGAGAGTTAAATCCATGCAGATCTCACAAACGTGGGACGTGGCGCTCATTGGACAATGGATCAGGGTGGAAAAAAGGGAGAAAAGCACATGCAAGAATCTGCAGCGAGTTTGCCTGTTCATCCATCATGCAATGGGTTCAACGTTATTCCCTCCACCGCTCTAGGATGAGCCAAGCAAGCCTTTCTTCCATTCCCATGATTTTTGTTTTTAAAGGGAAAAATCCACAAAACTTAGTTCAGTGGTTTTCAGCCTCTTTAGACTCGAGATGCCCCTCCTCCAGCTGGAGACACCCCTCGTCCAACTTGAGCCTTTCCCCCCTGGAAAATGTCAACTCTTGGTTTTTTTCCACCCATTTTTTGAAGTAGAAAAAAAGAATAGAGAAGCTTTTTTGCTGCAAAAACTCAGAGAGACCACAGCAGGGCAGAATGGTTGTAACACTGGGGATCCCTAGGAGAAACCTCTGGGTTTATCGTGCGAGTCATGTTTGCACCCCTCACAGTGCGAACATTTCATGGCACCCTATGACACCTTTGAAAGGATCTCAGGGTGCTGCAGCACCCTGGCTTCATACACCACAGGTTGCTGCCACCCTGGCTCCAGTGGCGATTTCTCCCAAGGTCCCTAGTGTAGACACTGCTCTGCTGCAAAAGGAGTTTTTCTTCCTCCACCTTCCCTGAATACCTTGGCTGTTCACTTACAGGGCATGTGCTTTCCACCCCCAGTCCCACCAAGCAAGGGCAGCACAACTCTGCAAGGTAGACAAGACCTGATAAGGTATAATGCCCAGCTTCCCTCATCCTGGGGGTTGCCTGAGGGTGCCTACTCCTGGCCTCACTCAGTGGGGTTGAGCCACAGGGAGTTTGGTTTAAACCAGGAGGCTCTGCTCCTATAACTTTGGTGGCTGCATCTTCTTGAAGCCTTACAAAGTGATGATGATAGAGCCTCTCAACCCCAGCGGTGAGCATTTATTCTCAGGAATCATCCCATTGAAGTCAATGGTCTCTGCACCCTCGAGGACCTAGGAGAAATTTCCTTGGGGTTAATAGGATGTAGCCTGAGCAGAGAGGGGCA